CTTCAACTTGCTCGAAGCTCCCAAACTAAAGCATGATGGTTCTTTCATTAGTCTTTGGAGGCGCAATAAAGGGTCAATTTTATACAATTTTCGATGTTGAATTCTTTTTATGGTCATGTTTTATGCTAACATGGTTCCCATCGATCGTGTCAGTGGAATCAATAATGATTTATTCATATCTCTAACCAAAAGTCATGATCTTCTCTTTCAGGGTGAAGTAGTTCTTTGTTGGGTACTGACGATGCGATGGAATTTGTCTTACTTGGGATCATCGACTTTGTTAGCTTCTTTGAGGTGTTTTGCCGTAGGAGCTCAATAACCTTTTTGACTAGCAACTCGTCAAGAAGTTCATAGACTTTAGAGTTAGGGAAGGATAAACCTTTACTGCCAATTCCTTCAAGGTTGGTGACTCTTTTCTTCTTGAGGATATTGACTTGCAACTTTTTGTTTCAACTTTTATTTTATGGAGACTTTTGCAGAAGTTGTTCCCACCGTTATGTCTTCTTTAGTTTGAGGTTTTGGTAGTCGCTTGGATTCTTTCTCTATCTTCTTTGGATCGAAGACATGTGAAGTCTTTCCATGACTTGCAATTCTTAACACCATATAATGTGCAAGCATCGTCAATTCTTCAAACATTCTTGGCTTAACCCCATGGATAATGTAAGTAAGGCCCCAATGCATTCATTGCATAAAAATCTCGACAATAGAAATTTTTTAGAGTCGATATTCGCAGTTAAGCTCAAGGCTCATTTGTGGTTGATATAATCCACTACGGGTTCATCTTTACCTTATCTGGTATTGGTCAATTCCATCATACTTACTGTACGACGACTGCTATAGAAACGATTGAGGAACTCATTTTTAAGCTGCTCCTTATAATCAATTGACCCAAACTCCAAATTTGTGTACTAATCAAATGTGTTTTCTTTTAATTAACAAACAAACTTCTTAACAAAGAGTTGCCTTGTGTACAAGCACTACTACAAGTTTCAATGAAATGAAAATTGTGTTATCTTTGATTTTGCTTCCTATCAAATTGTTGCAACTTTAGTGAGTGATAGCCAATTGCATAGGTAGACAACCTATCCACTTTTTATTCGATTTGTAGTAGTACAATAAGTTCTGTGGTAGTCTACCATATTTAGCTTTGATAGTGTTTGCTATCATGTCTTGTAGTTGTTCGACATATAACCTTACAACTAAAGCAGACAGATACTTTGGACATTGATAGACTTGGCAGGAGATTTGGTAGCAACCTCCGCTTGCCATGTTAGATCATAACTTGACTCGCCAGGGCTGTAGAGTTCTAACTTGCTGATGAGTTTGGCAATCGGGTGATCTTTCTCCTTTTTAAAGCTTCAACGGTCTACATCATCATAGCAAGTTGCTCATCCATATTATTCGTAGTGGTCACCATGGCGTTCACCATGTTTGAAGTTAACGAATTCACCAAATCCTCAGATCTGCTAAAGTCGGCGCCTATTTGAGTAACTTCATTGGACAACCATAGTGTGGAGATTGTAGTTGTAACTACTTGTTTGTTCTTGGATGGAACACCATAACTCCTATTCGAGGCCATCACAATAGTCGGCTTCGCAGTATGCAAATTTGATTTGTGAGATAAAGATATGAGGGACAGAGTTGATCCCGTTTGGCGTGCCAAAAATTTATTCGTCACAAATTTTATATATAAAAACTAAATAACTGCAATAAAAAAATAAATATGAGCAATATTCATTTTCTTGATTTTTTATGAGTACAACTCTGTTTATATCCCCCGATTTTAATTTCAGATTGAATCGCCTTTATTCGAGGGCTAATTAAGCATGTCCTTCAACGAATGAGGTACTTCTAGTGATATGTTGAATCGCCAGGAACTTTGAGTAGCACATCAGATCGTTCTCGAGGGAAAGACTTCTCGCAAACTCTCTTTCTTGCTATAGACTTCTAGAAAAAGATATGGAACGCATTTTGTTCTCTCCCTCCACCAGTCAAGATACCTTTAAAAGGGAGTATGTAACCTTTTTATATATGTGTGAACTAGGGTTTAGGGCGGAGTAGCATCTAAAAGCCTTGAAAATACTTTTGGGCTTGAAGACCATGGATCGAGTTTTGTCTTGTAGAGGCCCAACTTTAGTATCTAGCCCACATTGTAATTGGATTTAAATTAAGTCATTTAGTTTTGACTTTAATAAATCCATATTGATTGACCTAAATTATCTATCCACGGTCAATGTGTCTCAAGTTTATGATTTAACCCAAATTTTGTATGAGTACAATTCAATAAAATGTTGATGTCTGTATAACCAAATTAAGAATATGAGATATGTATTTTTGCTTTTGGATTTTATGTAAATAAGTGAACTTAATGTATATTTAACAAGAATTAAACAAACAGACAAGTATATGATATGTTGAAATATTAATATATAGAGTAAATTTTCTTCGTAATACATGACAATTATGTTCTCTCACTAATCTAATTTATATTCACATATACTTTTAAGTGATACATAAGTTATCTCTTAAACTTGTTCAGAAAATCAATTCAATTGAATGTACGGAAAAGGGTAAAAAATGTCCTTCTACTATTCGAAAATGTTCACTTATATCCTCCGTTATACTGTTGGTCCACAACAACCCTTGACATTATAAAATTGGTGTAAAAATACCCCTCTTCCATTAAAACCTTCCACCATGGCAAAATTATCTCATGTGGACTGTCATATCGTTGACGTGGATGCCACCTCATCACACCTATCCCATTTTCTCCCCTACCCTACTTCTTCTTCCACCACAACCTCCCTCTTCATCCAACCACCACCACATTACCTCCTCCTTCACCGTACACCTATTCTTCCACTGCCATCAAATTCCACTAGTCTTGGTCACCATTCTTTCACTAAAAATCTATCGAAAATTTTGATTTCTTGGTTTCATTTTCGGATTTGGTTTGAGCTAATGTGAGACCTAGGACCGTTTGGCAACTAATTAAACTCAAAGAAGTGAAAGATGCTTTCCAGCTGCCACAAAAAGAAGGAAAATCTCATAATTCATAATTTACAGAAATGTTCAGAGCATAATGAAATATTTTTATACAATGGTACATTTGGTTTCTAGTTCAATGATTAGGATTTTAGTGTGCAAAGATTTTCTTTATAGGCAGTCATTGCCGCTAGTATACTTTCTAAAAAGAGAAAAGAAAGTCGTTCCATTACTACCTTATGCCACCTCCTCCGCTTACTTTATGCTATAAGCAGTTTTAGATTCCCAGTTCCAGCTACAAAGCTCCGCTTTGTATCATAGAGAAAGCTGTATTTAATTACCATTTTCATCTTTGCAATTTAATTTCATAGTAATAGATTATATAGATTTTCCATATTTTTTTCTTTCTTTTACCAACTTGCACAATGCACTTAAATTTTGTCAATGCATTTGGACACACTATTCTTTTCCTCCTTTATCTTTTGACAAAATAAAATACTGTCCGCTAAAGCAGCTCCAACAAGCTTTGGCACTTTGGTATCCGAAAATGAAACCAAGAAATCAAAATTTTATATTGATTTTTATGAAAGGTGGCCAAGACTAGTGGTTTGATGGTGGTGAAAGAATACATGTGTGGTGAAGGAAGAGGTGATATTGGTGAAGGTTGGGTGAAGAGGGAGGTGGTGGTGAAAGAAGTAGGGGAGGGGGATAAAATAGGATAGGTGTAATGAGGTGGCATGCCATGTGGCATCCACCTCAACGATATGTGAGGCCACGTGGGATAATTTTTCCAGGGTGGAGGGTCCTAACGGCAGAGGTGTATTTATGCACTAGTTTTATGCCATCGGGGGCTGTTATAGACCAATAGTATAATGAGGGTATAAATGAACATTCTACAATAGTAGAGGATATTTTTGACCCTTTTCCTTTAACGTATGATCGTTCAACTCCTATTCTTACTTGAAGTGGGACAATACCATATATATAAGCAGTCTGATTGTGGAAGATGTTTTACTAAATCAATTACATATATCTCATTTGTTTGCACTTAATGGAGGTCTGAATCTTAATTATGAAGATCGCATAGATTAAGTGAGTTTGTTTTTAAAATCTTAATCTTAACTATTCAGATCTTAATCATTAAGTGTTTTTTTTTTTACTTAGCAATCACTTAATGGGTCTGAATAGTCTGTATGATTAAGATCTATAATAGAGACTTAATTTCATTAAGATGCTATCATCCACATTATTTATTGACTGCCGCCACCGCCAACCATTATCAACTACCACCACCACTACCATACTCAACCACAACCACCACAACCACCACCATACTCAATCACAACCACAACTACCACCACCATCATCTTCACTCATAGCCGCCATTATCGACTACCACCACCCACCACCCTTATCACTCCAACCACCCTCATTTTCAACCACAACCACAACCAACACTCATCCACTTCAACTACTACAACTAACCACCCCATCACCATCAACAATCATAGGCGGCACTGCCTATCATTTTCAACTACCACCACCTTCCTCAATCACAACTACTACCACCACCACCCGCTATTACTAACTATCACCACCCACCACCACCATCCTCAATCATAATAGCCACCACTACCACCAACCGCCGCCTCTAGTCGACATTCACAAGCACCACCATTAGCCATCACCATCAACAACTGCCATAGATTATTAGATCAATTAGTATTATAATTGAATTTTATGTTTGTTAATTTTTCAAATAAAGATAAATTTTATACATTCAGCAGTCTCAATCATTTATTATTCTCAATTATTTATTATTCAGATCTTGATGCACGTCTTAACATTCAGATGTATATTCAGATTCAGATATCTTGATCTTAATACAAATTTTAATATTTATATGTATATTAAGATTCAAACGTTTTTAATATTAAAAAAAAAATGAGGCAAGTCGGGTTGATTTGATTTTAAGGTTTTCCTTGAACCTCCCAAATTACGAGACCGAAAAACGGAAGGTAACATAACGAAACTCGGCCGTCTCTTAGGACACTAGGGCTGAAGTGTCAAAAACACATAACATAGCCACATTCCGTGCCACCCACACTCCTCTCGCTCTTACGTTCTCATCTCTCTCTCTATCTTAGGGTATAACTCTTCCCTTTTCTCTCTCTAATAAATCTGCAATTTCTTCATTTAATTTTGATTTTTTTGTATGAAACTTAGGGTTTAGAGAATCAGATCGGTGAAGAGAGACAGACATGTCGGATCAGAGATTGACCCGTATCGCTATCGTTAGCGCCGACAAGTGCAAGCCAAAAAAGTGCCGCCAAGAATGCAAGAAAAGCTGTCCTGTCGTTAAAACTGGTATATGCTAATTCGATTTCTTATACGTAGTTTTATTGCTGTAATTGTATATTTTGCTTAATTGTTTAGCTTAGGTTTGTTGGTGATAATTTTCAATTTTAACTACTTAGAGCTTTTATGTTTTCTTTTGTGTATTTTGAGCTATGCATATATAACAAGACTGTTTTTATCAATTGATTGGTTAAAGTTATATCTTGTATGTGGATTCGGCTTTTTTTAAGGTAAAACAATGAGGGCGATCATTTACTAAGATTAGGTGTATATCTTTTTGCTGTCAAAGTTTTGAGCTTTGCAACACCCAAGGGTGTACTGTGGCCTAGAGGTCAATGATGTGGGAGGAGAACCATGAGGGTTTAGGTTCAAATTTAAGCGGTGCAAAAATAAACTAGGCAATTTCTTCCAACCCGCCTAAGCTTTTGTTGGCAGAGTTGTCCTGCTTGATGGATGGAATGGTTGAGGCTTGCCCAAGCTGGACTGGACATCACCATCGTTAAAATAAAAGTATTGAGCTTTGCACGATTTTGTATGAGATTATTTACTACACACAGCTCACTGAAAAGGGGGGATTTATTTGCTACACCTTGCATACTTTATTGTGAAGTACATCATTATATGAGTTACTAGGTTAAAAATTGTTTTTGCCTTGGAAGTTGATGACGTTATTGTGGTTCTAATTTGTTAAGTTAATAATGTCGTCTAGAATAAAGGTTTTAACTTCATGTTTTATAGTAGTGGAAGTTGAATTCAGCCTAGTGGTGTGGACAGTTCTGTGAATGCACTAGGTGAGTTTTGAGGGATGTTGGGATTGTGTTTTTTACATTTGTTCTAGAATTTTTCCTAAAACTATTAAATGATAAATGAAAAGATGTCCTACCACTTTGTTTTTGGTGGATAGACATGCATTACAGTTGTCCCTGATACCAATAAAGAAAAGTAAAAAATGAAAAAGATAAAACAAAAAACGTCCTGGAAGCTTCTTCTGTCACCTTGAGATTGCATCGGATTCGTTAGTGGAGAAAGGTAGAATGCGGCTGCCAAAACTTTGGAGGAATGGATGTTCTTCTCTCATTGGGAACAGATATTCAAGAAGTATATATAGGGTTTATCCTTTTGCTAGGGAAGTTTCTTTTGTCATTGGGATTGAGGTATAGTTGATTCACTGCCAGAATAAATCATCAGTGTGGGGAATACGTGTAACATTACCCACTCTATCCCAATTTATGTAATGCACTTTCCTCTGTCCAAAAAGTGTGATACTTTTCTGTGCTTAGAAACAATTTAACTTTGAACTTCCCATTTTACCATTAGTGAGATGATTTACAGTCCACATTCTGGCTTGTTTTAGACCCACTAGCTTCAAAAGTCTTTCTTTTTAAGCTCCGTGCCTGAAGTGCATCAAATAAAATGGGATGGAGGAAGTACTTCATATAACAGGGAAATGTGCTTGCTCATTTTTATTATTTGGCAGAATTAAGATAAATCTTCTTCAATCAATTAAGCTTTGTTTATGCAGGTAAATTATGTATAGAGGTCACTCCAGCTGCGAAGATTGCTTTCATCTCAGAGGAGCTGTGTATTGGATGTGGTATATGTGTTAAGGTTTGTATATATTACAAACAAAATAAAATATGAGAGACATTTTGCTACAGATTGGTCATTGTTCCTGCTTACTGATATTTTATTGACAATACAGAAATGCCCATTTGAAGCAATTCAGATCATCAATCTGCCAAAAGATTTAGACAAGGATACAACCCATCGTTACGGTCCTAACACTTTTAAATTGCACAGGTGTGTTGAAGCTGTATCCCTTCTGGATAAGTCTCTTGCTGATCAGATATTTGATATTTTATAAAGTGAATTCTTGAAATATTTGCAGGTTACCCGTCCCTAGGCCAGGGCAGGTTCTTGGTCTGGTTGGAACAAATGGTATTGGGAAGTCAACCGCCCTTAAAGTTTTGGCTGGAAAATTGAAACCAAACTTGGGACGCTTCAGTGTACTATTCTTTGGCATCTTCTTCACTAGTCAATTCATGGCCATACAGCTTGCTTACCTTTTTCTTAAATTTTCTGTGACAGAACCCACCTGATTGGCAAGAGATCTTGACTCACTTTCGAGGATCTGAACTGCAGAACTACTTCACTCGCATTCTGGAAGATAACTTGAAGGTGACTCACTTTCGAGGATCTGATTCAGTGTTTCAGTGATCCTAATTGTCCTAGCTTTTTGTTAGTTGGTTTCTTTCTGAGCGACACTCACCTTTGGATATACATAATGCCTCTTGCTCTTTTGTATCAAGGATACCCGGCTATTGTAAAAATAAGTAAAAATTTCAAGTGAAAGGGATTTAGTTGTCTGACTATGAGGGCATTGTAGCTCTCATAACTCAAAAGTAGGTGTTCTTCCTCTGTATAGTTGTGATTGGTCAAATAGTTACTAGCGGATCTGCTACATCCAAATAAATTATTCAGTAGACCATTGATTTTGAATGATAAAGAATGCTTGACGTTCTACAATGATGACCAAGTGTATCATTCAAAAAATTGTTGAACAATGTAATATTAAAAATCATCACGCCACTTATATATCAAGATGGTTTTTTAGCTCGTTATTTGTTGCATCCAGTTACCTTTGCTCTTGATCATATAGTATTCTATTCATTTGTAATTTGAACCTTCTTTCAAACAGGCAATCATCAAGCCTCAGTATGTCGACCATATTCCAAAGGCAGTTCAAGGAAATGTGGGACAAGTGCTTGACCAAAAAGATGAGAGAGATGTGAAGGCACAACTTTGTGCCGATCTAGAGCTGAATCAGGTTTTGGATCGTAATGTAGGTGATCTATCTGGTGGAGAGCTTCAGAGGTTTGCTATTGCTGTTGTTGCAATACAAAATGCAGAGATATACATGTTTGATGAGCCTTCGAGTTATCTTGATGTAAAGCAGAGGCTTAAAGCTGCCCAAGTTGTCAGATCCTTGCTTCGACCAAATAGGTTCTTTTTCATGCTCCTCTGACTTTTCAACATTCAAAATTTCAATTTATCATTCCACATACTCTGATATTTTTCTTCTATGTTTCAGCTATGTCATTGTGGTGGAGCATGATCTTAGTGTACTTGATTATTTGTCGGATTTCATTTGCTGCTTATATGGGAAGCCTGGTGCATATGGAGTTGTCACCCTACCCTTCTCAGTCAGGGAAGGAATTAATATATTTTTGGCTGGATTTGTGCCTACAGAAAATCTACGTTTCCGTGATGAATCTCTTACTTTTAAGGTACATTCAGATTCTTCTGTAACCCATAGGTCACGACAATATTATCTTAACGTGTATATTTTTCCATAGGTTGCTGAGACCCCACAAGAGGCGGCTGAGGAAATTGAAACATATGCACGTTACAGATATCCAACCATGACTAAGACTCAGGGTAATTTCAAGCTTAAGGTTGCCGAGGGTGAATTTACTGATTCACAGATTGTTGTGATGCTTGGTGAGAATGGAACCGGGAAGACAACCTTTATTCGCATGCTGGTACACTTTGCATACAAATATATCATGTCTGAAATGCGTGTTGTTTCCTGTCTTCTGCGTTACAAATACTCTTCCACTTGTGGATCTGAATACTGCAGGCTGGTCTATTAAAGCCTGATGTGGTGGAAGGATCTGATACGGATATACCAGAGTTCAATGTTTCATACAAGCCCCAGAAAATCAGTCCAAAATTTCAATCCACTGTAAGGCATTTGCTACATCAAAAGATACGTGATTCTTATATGCATCCCCAGTTCTGTTCGGATGTGATGAAGCCTCTCCAAATTGAGCAATTGATGGATCAAGAAGTTGTGAATCTTTCTGGTGGAGAGTTGCAAAGAGTTGCCTTAGCCCTGTGCCTTGGAAAGGTAATTTTTGCCAACTCTATAGATATGCTGCTTTGGTTGTTTTGTACAATCTGGTAGATGTCTTGGTCCAATCATAACAGAGGCTGCCTTTGGATTCTTTGCTATCTCTATGTCAGATATTCGAACTTTTTCCTGATATCTTTTTCTCCCTCCTGATTTTACTTTACAGTATCCTGCTTTTCCAGAATGGTCTTGCTAATATTGGCTATCAGAGCATCATTAGTATCATCACAGATTAAGCTTTAGAATGGATGATCTTACTATTTATTTTGTTACGTATCTCTTTATGGCGATTGATGTACTTTATGTGTTGTTGCATTGTAAAGGCTCTGATCCAACTTTGCAGAAGGACTACCCATCTGTTTGTTTAATGTTGCACCAATTTTTCTCGGTTTATCATTTTTATTTTCTTCCTTGTCTAGGGCGTTTGAATGAGGGTTTTGCAAACTTTATTGACAAATTAGCAATGAAATTTGTATTTGCATCTTGGTTGTATTTGATAGTCAATATCCATATTGCATTTTGCTGCTCCTCTGCATTACCGAAGGTGTGATCTTTGTTCTTACTGCACAGTTATATTAATGTTGCACCAAATACGAGTATCACGTTACTCTAAAGCCATTTAGAGGGTACTATTAATAGTAAACTGTAGATTGCAGAGGAAAATTTCTTAGAAGGGCAGCGTATGAAGACTATTCCGCTCATTTCTCTTTTACGTTAGGGGTGTATTTATAAATAATAACCTAACTTATTTCTTAATTCCATGCAGCCTGCTGATATATATCTGATCGATGAGCCAAGTGCCTATCTTGATTCTGAGCAACGTATTGTAGCTTCAAAAGTTATCAAGAGATTCATTCTTCATGCGAAGAAAACCGCATTTATTGTAGAGCATGACTTTATAATGGCAACTTACCTGGCAGATAGAGTCATTGTGTACGAGGGGACGCCTTCCATAGATTGTGTTGCAAATGCACCCCAATCGTTGTTGACGGGAATGAACCTCTTTTTATCAGTAAGATCTTTGCATTTATCTTGTTTGTTATCTTTTTTAGCTTGCCTTCATTACTTGAAAGTTTTCTTACTATAACATTTTTATTACTCATGATGTTCGTCCTTGGCCAAAACTAATATTCCTTGTAGCTAATGTTTTCTCTTTTAAAATGAATGCTGTTTAGACGGCTGCACTACCTTTATACGGTGCTCTTGTTGTTGATGGGATTTGTGTTCCTTTTTTTGTTATTGATGTGCTATCCAAATTATGTGCAGCACCTGAACATTACATTTAGAAGGGACCCGACTAATTTCCGTCCAAGAATCAACAAACTGGAATCAACCAAGGATAGGGAGCAGAAGTCAGCTGGATCCTATTATTATTTGGATGATTAACCAGAACAGGTTGCATCGATGATCCTTGCTTACCTCTTTCTATTGGCACCTTGATTTTAACAGAAGCTCCGCTATTCCTCCTAGGTGCTAAATGATGATCGCAAAAACAGCCTCTGGGTCATTTATCTCATAAACATCTGACGTGATTATTAGAGGTTGATGTCTCATTGAACAGATGATAGGGTATCAGCAGAATGCCTACTGTTTCGTCGATGGTTTTATATGATGATCTAGTAATTATTTCTGGTATTATGTACTCATTATATTGTATTTTTCACCAATTTTGACTGCAGAGTGGGTAGTTGTCTCTTCGGATTTTCATTTTGTATGTTGATCTTTGGCATATGAATGGGGTATTTGATTGGGTTGATGAAATTATGTGAGATGTCTATGAATAGTTTCACTGACGATTAATGTTCTCGACTTTAGGTGATAACTGGACTCTTATGTAATACATACATGAGTGATAGTTGATTCTTCATCTCTCTACTCCATGATTGCAATGTGTATTAACAACTTGAAAAGGGGTTTCCTAACTGAGTATTTTTCGGAAAATGTCTTTATTTTACAAGAGTTGGTTACCAGAATTTTTCTCAAGGAAAATGTGTATTATCAACTTTCAAAGTCAATTTTTAATTTGGTTTGCTAATATTACTAGTACTATGAGGGCGTTTGGCTAAGCTTATAAGCTGGTCAAAGTGGCTTATAAGCACTTTTTAGCTTATCTACGCGTTTGGTAAAATTAAAAGTGCTTATAAGTTAAGTGTTTATAAGCCAAAAATAAGCTAAAAGCCATAAGTTGGTCTCTCCCAACTTATCAAATTTTAGCTTATAAGCACTTTAGGTTTGACCAAGATATTTACTATTCTATTCCTAAAATATTTCTTTTTAAAACAAAAACTCGTATAGTTTTTTTCGAAACGTAAACAGCCGTTGCCTTCTCCAGCCGTGCTTCTGCAATAGTAGAGGGGTTGATCTTATTGCTTCCTCTATCTCGTGGAATTCCCTTCATTCGTTCTTCTCTGCTCGTAGATTGTCCATTGGTGACTCTGCTCGTTCTTCTATGCTCGTGGCTCTACGTGTAATTGATTTATATGGGAACACACGTACACAGGTGCTGTAACACACTGTTAGCTTGTACTCTTTACTTCCAGACTATTCTTTTAATATGTTGAGTTATATTCTTTCAAAATATTACTGATAAGTTACATGCTATTATATGTTCCCTTTATGCGTTTTGCACTCTATATTTTTGTTTTGCAATCTACAGTTACATTAGCTTGTACCTCTCATGAATGTCCCCATGTGACTATTTTAAGTGCATGTTTCTTCCCTACTGTGCATTATTTAAGGTTTTTTTCTTTAACTTTTGTTAATTTATACATCACCCGTTCTAATTTATGATTGTATATTTATTATAACATAAATTATATTTATACAAAAAGATATTATCTTATAATTAAAATAACATGATAAATAGGTCATTTTTATTTGAATCTATGTAGAATCTACAATTTTGAAGAAAATGACGTTTTTAGTAGTGTAAATTGTTATAAGGTCATTTAAGTCATTTTAACATAAAAATAGCTTATCAACACTTTTTAATCAAACAGTTTCAGCTGCTTATTATCAATTTCAGCACTTTTATCCAAACACGTAACTGCTTATTTATTAAATCAGCTTCAGCACTTAAAAGTACTTTTCAGCACCTAATGCTTATCAGCTACTCTAAATCAGCTAAGCCAAACAAGCTCTATATTTGTTTCTAAAAGTCTTTATTCAAAAATTTCCTTCACTCTTCAATCAAACATTGAAAATTTTTTGTCAGAAAATATTTTGTATAACTACATTTTTGGGAAAAAATTTCTTTGAGATGTCTGGTCCTCTTCACCACAGCTCGCTGCAGTGTTGCGAGTTTGTTCTCTGATGTACAGTGTTTCCATATTCTATCTGTGCGATTAACTTCATCAATGCAAAATGATCATATTCCATTCATAATTTTAATTATCTTTCATTCCGCACTTACTATAAATTTTTATTGGTCGACAATTTTGACTTAAATTAAGTGAAATTAAAGCATAAGAAGATTTGTATAGTTAGCAGAAAAGTATAGTTTATGATCGGAAAAGGGCCAAAAATATCCCTAACGAATGAAAAATAGCTCACAAATATCCTCCTCCCACCTTTTGATCTAAAAATATCCTCAACTTTTATTTTTGGCTCATGGATACCCCTCAAACTAATGGCCTAAATCTGGGTCAAATTAGGCTCTTTAAAACAGGCACGTGGCCTATTATGATTTGCACAATTCATAGTTAAATTAAAACCCACCCATTTTATAAACCCGCCCCCACTCCTCTTTTAACCTTAAACCCCTAATTCTTCATCCTCACTACAACTGCAACTTCACTGTTTTTTAATCCCAAAGTGCATGTAAAACATATAGAGCCTTCCGGTACGGTCGCCGGTGTTCGATTTTATGATAACAATTTCGTCTAAGTGATTCTGGTATCTTCCATGTCACAATATTTGGTCAAAACATAGTTATGAAGTGAATATCTTGATTTCGAGAAATACAAACCCGTTCTGTCTCTGTGTGTGAGAGAGAAGCTTTGATGGAGTGTTGAAAAAAATGAAAATGTCATCATAGAGATTTAGAGTAAGCAAATCAGAGAGTCAAAGAGCTTCATGTTGGAAATGGAAATTTTTGTGAACATAATCTAAATATAAAAAGAGATGGGGGAGGTTTAAAAAATGGGTGGTTAATTTAATTCTGAATATAAACCGTGGCAAATCATAATACGCCACGTTCCTATTTTAAAGAGCCATATTTAACCTAGGTTTAGGCCCTTAGTTTAAGAGATATCCATGAGCAAAAAATAAAGATTGAAGGTATTTTTAGACCAAAAGGTGAAAGAAGGGTATTTGTGAGCAATTTTTCATACGTTAGAGATATTTTTGGCCCTTTTCTTTTTTATGACTCTTACTAAATGTTCCTTGCCTAAACCTCTTCCATCTTCATGAAATTGGTCTAATAGTTGAAACTTTATCTACACAGGGTCAAAGTCCACATTTCCTTTTATTAATGAAGTAATAACACCTCCCCAAAAGCAACAAAAACAAGAAAAACTAGGAGTAATTTGAAAAGAAAAAAGAATAGATGGCTTCCTAATTCTCCTTTTTATCAGAAAGAACAGTAAAACCAAATTATTACTATTTTCCACCGTAATTGACTGGTAAATAACTAATAAAGCGGTTCTTATCTCTAAAAAGTAAAAATTCATCGTTCACCCCTCAACTTCTAAAGTGATGGACATTTAAAGAACTGAAGTTTGCTATAAACTTGGTAAAATCCTTCATATTCTCAACACTCTTTGAAACTTTAAAAAGATCGTCCATATTCTAATCCGTTTAATTCGCCTCCAACATGGTGAGACAACTTTCTTTATTGTTATTGTTGTTGTTGTATATTTTGTGTTTCTAAATTTTAGTCTTACTAAGATGGCCAAATGGCCTCGTGGCCATTTAAACTTGAATCAGTTTTCAAACATGATACATGAACTTACATATTTCCCATTTGAACATTCCAACTTGACAAAATAGGTATTAATAAACACATCTAACAGAGCGTGTATATCAATTGCACTGACATGTACAACATGTCATATACTAAACTGTGTATTACTTGACATGTGTTATTTGTGGGTCTTATTTTTAAATACAAAATTAGCAACAAAAAGAAAGTTAGAAATACAAAAAAAAAAAAAAAAAAAAAAGAAGGAAAAACACCTGAAACATACTACCCCAGTTTTAATCTGTACCCAACCATCCCCCTTCTTGATCGTTCTCCCTCCTCCCTTCCTTACTCATCTTCTTTCTTCTCCTTTCTCTTTTTCTTCATTGTTCTTTCTCTTTCTTATTTCTAAATTAAATTCACAAGAACACTATGGTCATGTTTATACCATAACAAAACAAAACAAAAAAAAATTTTGGAATTTTAGGGAAAAAAAATAACAAAAATTCATGATTTTGAAAGTGGAGGTCCCCTAATACCATTGCAATTCTGCCTTTTTTTGCTGCTATTCTGGCAAAGACCATGATAGAACAACGTCAAAGCTCAGCTTTTCTTCCGGCCACCGGTGGTTGAGGGAGGTTGGGACTGAAATGGTGGGTGGAGACTAGCAAATGAAAGAAAGAATTATTGAAGGGGGGAGATGAAGGGAAAAAGAAATAGAGAAAGGGGAGGGGGAGAGAAATTAGGATAGAAAATGAAAAATTTTACAGAAAATGGGTGAGAGTTTTGCTGGGAAGACGAGAGAGGTGGAAGGGAGGGGAAAAGAGAAGGGGAACGGGAAAAATCTTTTTTTCTTTTTACTTTTTCTTTTTTATTTATATTTTATTCTAACTCTAATATTTTTCTAATAAACACAATATATTCATGCGCTTTGGCAGCGTGATTTGCACACAGTTTAACCTTGTCAGTTGTGCTGCTTCCATATTGGCTTGGTCAAGGGTCAAAGGTGTTTATTAGTACCCATTTTATCAAGTTGGAGTGTTCAAATGGGAAAAGTGTAAGTTCATGTATCGGGTTTGCAAACTGATACAAGTTTAAGTGGTCACGAGGCCATTTGGCCTATAAAGATTGATTAACTAGGTTACCATTCTTTGCAATCGTCAAGCTTAAAACTAAAGCAGCACTGTGTATTAGTTTCTACATTAGTAGAACAATGTTATTGTAGGTATGACTTGATGAGGAGAATATTATATACTTTAGGGATCAATTTCCATTTAATACATTTTCCCTTTTTTTTTAGTAGTGCACACATGTACTAGAATCCTAGATCCGCTTCTGTATCTACTGTTGATGCAATCATAATATATGGTTTCATTGATACAGATGGAGAAGATGCAGATGGTTCCAATTAATGTAGTTCTTGCTCTCATCCTTTTGCTGGTCGGGATAGGTTAGCCTCTCTTTTATTCAACTACTGGTATTTGCATTTTTAGTTTTTTCTTTTTTAAATTCAGTAACATCGATTTTATCCCTTAAAGATTTGGAACGAGCAATTCTCTTTTTAATTGTATCTTTTATCACCTATGTCTGACTAAGGTACAAATAGTAAAACCACGTGGTAGAATAACAATAACAAATGCACCGTAGGGTGTGGCATAACGGTCAATAAAATGAGACAAACGAATGGGAAACAAAGTCAAACCAGAGACGAAAAAAAAAAAAACACACTTGTGATTGAACACTTCCTTTATGAAAAAGAATACCAATAAAGTATGTAATATTTTAATATACTATTCCCTCTGGTCCACTTTAATTGATATTTTGGCTCTTTTTTTGTGGTCCAAAATATTTAAATTTTTCAGATATCAAGCAAGAATTAATTTTTTTCCCAAAATTGCCCTTGGGTAAAGAGCCTAGGAGTATTGTTGTATTTTTAAATGAAAGTTAATATGGTCAGTTTCATTATTAATTAATGATAAAAGATGGATTCCTTTTTTTTTTTTGGTAAATAAGAGGTGGATTCCATAACATATGTGAAAACAATCCAAAAAACAATTAAAGTGAACCGGAGGGAGTAAATATTACTTTGGTAATATCACTCTCCAGAAATTATGTATAACCCCTTGTAATCATGAATTTAAATTTTCAATGTTGAAACCATATTTTACATTTTGCTAGCATGAAACACATAGTAGCTAACAATATATATATATATATATATATATATATATTTAATGTGCAGCTAGTGCAGGTGCAGCTAAACAATGCTTAAAAGTACAAGAATGCCACATTAACTGTGGTGAAGGTTCTCCAATTTGTTTATACAATACTTGCTTGTGTTGCAAGTGTGAGACATACTTTCCACCCACAACTAACGAAATAACCACCCAATTTCCAGTGAAAGTTTCTTTAGCAAATGGAGTTTGTAGTGAAAAAACTTGCAAGCAACGAACCATGTTAAACCATAAATAATACTAACATTGAGTTATAAAATCTTTTGTTTTACTAATGATTGAGTAAATTATCTATTGTCAATTTTGAATCAAAATTGTCGTGTTTTACAGTTTCATGCATGATACTTGTTTGTAGTTTCACATACTTTACATAAATTGCTAGCCAAATTGACTATTTACTTTTCCTATCCGGTATAATTAGATTATACATTGATTTTATAAGGTTATATACATATCATACATGTATTATACATATTTTATAAATCTGTCGATTAAGTTTAGTTTAAGCGAATGGATGGACGGGTTAATTTTTTTTCCTACCGTAATAATGTGAATTGCGCATCACTAGTCAAGGTTTCACAAGAGAACGTAACATACTTGCTTTGATAAATTATCCTACTGAAAAATAAAAGCACATAATTTTTCTGAGTAATATGCTGCCCAAATACTATAAATTAGAAAGTCTCGGTATCATGTGCACGTTCAGAAAAAAAGGAGGATAAAAGATGCACAAACTCAATAGAGTAACTAGTAAAAATGTACGTTTAATAAACCAAGGACAAATAATGTACTACCCGTATAAATTAAGTACCATAATTTAAATTCTGTCTTCTTTTTAGTAAAGATTTTCACTTAAATTTTTTGTTACCATGAAATAATTGAGAATTAGCTTTTCATCCCAAATGATTAATATTAATTCATTCATTCGATTAATTTTCACTTAAATATTGTAATTTTTTATAATTGTATTGTCTGACACTATTTTTACGGTATACCAACTACTTCCTACCAGCAACAAATATCTTGTAACTGTGTTTGCCATTCGTGTCCATTTTGGAACGTCTAAAATGCGACATTGGCTTGTTTTTTGTACAATTTCATAATTTTCAAGAATTCGAATCATTAGACTATTCAAATTTGTATTTAATTTACGTGACATTTTTTTTACATATGTACATTTGGTAGATAAATGCATATATAAAGTGATAAAAAGCTTTTCGTCTCAAGCAAGAACCATATTCAAAAACACAAAAATAATCGTAAGTAAATAAGTAAGTGAATAAATAAAATAGTAAATAAATAAGTAATTAAATAAAAAAAGAAGCAAAAGAATAATCTATTCTTTTGATTCCTTGGAATAATGAAAAATTTTCCACCATATAAAACTATTTAACCACCTTCCTTTTATAGCGAAAAGGCCGAGTGATTGATATATAATATTCATTGCAATAGATTATACATTTAAGAACCTACCATATTGGATTGACTTCACTTCCCTATAAATATAATAGTTGTGATGATGGTGATTTATCAATAGGAAGAATTATCATATAGTCACCAAAGTATTTTCTAAAGAAGATGAATATGGTTTCCTTAAAAGTGGTCATGTTCTTCACCCTCTTGCTCATTTGGAAAGGTAAGCAAGAATTGTATTAGTCAAGAAAATTCTCTCAATTAATTTATAAATCCTTATACAAACATGTTGAACTTGTTACTACATTCACTTGTTCATTATGTCTAATGAATATGAGTTACAGGCAATGCAGCTCCAGAACAACCTTGCCAGCAACCTGGAGATTGCCATCTGAACTGCGGAGATGATGCTGTTAATATTTGCCTCCATAATACCTGCTTGTGCCAACGCTGCACCAATTTCTTCCCTCCCTCTCCCAGTGATGAATCTTTTGTAATTCAAGATTGTTCAACTGATCATCCCAATTCCAATTGCAATCTGTCCTAAGATTATTGTATCCTAATACAAATATATTGAAAAAGAAAGTTATTTTACTATTTAGCATGCGTGTTTTTCCATCTTTATCATTTTTAGTAAGAGTGCGTTAATTTTTATTTAACTTGTTTCCTATATTAAGGAGCACACTCTGTCACGAGCCGAATTCGGGGCAATGACTGGGCACCGAGAGGGCTCCATGATTTTAAGTATACTAGTATCTATGAACGTGCGTTGCACGTTAATAATGGCACGTGATGGTTTAAACATTTAAATCATCCAACAACCGGAAAATATTATTACCTTATCATAATACGTGATTTCAAAATGAAAGGACATCATTAGAATTTACACAAATGATCAATTTAGTCATGTTAGTTAGATAATAACGTATTATACTTTAAAAGCATTTGATGTGAGGGTATCGTACCGAACACTTCTTTGTAGCTAATGTTTTTTTGTGTATGTTTCCTTCTAATGCTTTGGTTGCTCTGCCATAACCAGAACTCTTGTTGTCGATATTGATATTCCTCTTGAAAGTGCAACATATAGTTGTACATGCAAGAAAACATATTGCGATAAATAGTCTAATATTGAGGATGTTTTGTCCTTGTGTATTTATTATAATTGCAAAATATAAGCATAGCTAAAATTATTTTCACACAAATTTAAAAGGATATTCTTTAGTTTCGGAAGATGAAAGTTGAATTCAGGGATAAAAATATACTTAGAAGTACATTGACCTGTATCATAATTTTTCCATGTATGAAGTTATTGTCAAAACTTCCATATACCATTTATGTGCTATTTCATAAGCTATTCGGGGGATCTAAGTTTTTCAGTAGCATGACGTACATATTTTTTTTTCAAAATCAATATATATGCAATGGAAGATCAATTTTAACTTAGTATATTATATATATGATGACACTAACATATGTACGTAAGAATTAATAAACTTGACAACAAACCTATGTGGTAGAAGGCCATTTTAGTTGATCAATATATTCATTTCTGCTAGCTAAGATAGATTTTTAATTTCTATCATGCAATTTGCACAAATAACATTTTAATATAATGATAGAAATATTCCTCTTATTAAATGCACTATTATTACGAAATCATCTTTTATTAGATACTCTTCTTCGTTTCCAATACGAAGCAAGAAGTCACTGAATATTGGATATGTTCTTACTTTATATTTCTTGTCAGATGATTTTTTTTTTCATTTGAGGCCATAAGTATAATTTTGGCAAGCTAGTTTTTACAATCTCTGCTTTCTTCGATTTTGAAACTATTGGTAATACTTTACAGAAATCACCTTCCAAATCATTAATTTTTCACCAAACGATTCATTGATACTCAATATATCTCCAGAACTCCGGCAAATGTTTCGATATGTTGACACTTGGCCATAAGCGCTTCATTCCATTTACCAATTTTGCTTTCCTTATAAATTTAACAATATTTCTCTGCTTTGATATATTTTTATGGTTATTTAAGTTGTTTGAAGAGGTATATCAAATCTAAAGTGAGTGCCTCATAATAAAATTATTGCTGGTACACTATTTCTTATTATTGTTAACAATATCACGCCTCTTGATTTTACATTTGCAAGTAATGCGTGAAATAGAAGTATTATTTCGATTCCGCCGGAGGCATCTACAAAGGATAATACCGCTATACCAGAGTCGAATATTTATAATATAGCCTTGAAAGGTTATTCTTGTTCAGGATTTAGCTTTGATTGTGCTTCAACAGACAATTGTATGGTCGTTCGATTCTTAATATTATACTAACCTTTTTTATTTTATGTTCTAATTTTTTTAATCTATAACGCTCTTTTTATGGAATAAATTTATGTACCCTAAGATTTCTTTTAATTTGAAAAATAATTGTACTCATATGATGAATTTAAAAAATAATCGAATTGGATTCTCTTGCTAAATAATTAATTGAAAGATTTTATTGTTTGGTCTTAACATAAAAAATAATTTATTTTATGTTGATTTAGATTCTTACTATTAGTTAAAGATTTAATCTTAATTATAATTTTATCCTCCATATATTATTTTCAAGGAGTAAAAAAATCGATCCGACATTCCACTTTTAGATCTTTACGTTTGCAAAATCATTAGTAATATTGACTCTTACCAATTATTTTTCTTTCTCTTTTTCACACATTTATATTCTTAGATATTCTCTTAGTTGTTGATACGAAAAATTAATTAAAAATATATTATTTGAGTAGGAAAACTGTTCAAATATAATATACAAATATATTATGGGTATATATTTTTTTCTCAATTTCAATGCTATATGCAACTCATTTAATATTACTTTTTTTGGTATTGGATATTATGGAGTGTTAATGTACTACCAATATGGAGGATTCTTATGAAATTGATTTTATTAAACTTGCCTCATATTTTTAATAAGAATTTAATAGAATTTTTTTATTAATTTTAAAATCTTAAATATTAAAAAAATTAACATAGAAGATCTTGTAGTCCAAAAAAATAGGTTATTTTAGTTATATCCTTTATAATAATTAGGCTCTTCTTTTTCTAAATGGATTTGGACAATATATTACGTTCTCAAATTAAATTAGTAATAGGATATTATAGTATGTTTTAGTAATAGAATTTTTTAACGTGTCTATGCTCGAAAGTAATTATACTATAGGATTTCTAACGTGTAGTATTATGTCCTAAAACTAACAAGATTACAAGGCTAATGTCTAGAATTTCGGTTATGTCCTTTTATTGTGAGTTATTATGCTTAATATTATAAGGTTATTTTTGTAAACCGACATTGTATTCATACTTTCGTAACAATATAGATATAGATATAGATATAGATATAGATGTAGATAGATATAGATAAATATAGATTTAAAGTCATATACAAATACATGCGTTGCGACCCAAATAGTTGTGTGACATTTTGTTATTGCCTTGCTAAGTTTTTAAATTAAACATCAATATTATTTCCTACATCATCATTTAATGTGTTGGGTGTATGCTGTTGATTTTGTAAGATAACTAATTATTATACCCAATAAAAAGATAGCGAAAAAAAATTAATCGTAATAAATGAACAATAACGTAAAATTATATTAAACGTAGTTGCATTCCTATGTTATCTTGATCTCAGTTTTATAATTAAGTTTCTATTGAAGTTAAACATTTTGATGTCAAACGTCTGAAAGTGAAAACACACGGCAATATATAAATACTTAAGCCAACTGAAATTACTTACTTGTGCATGTATTATTTAGATAATTAATTGAACAAATAAATATAATTGGGGGATCGAAAAACTTTTTTCTTTCTTTTATAACTTGTTGATTTTCTAAAATACAAAATAACAGTTACTTCCCTTCAAAAAAAAAATACTTAATTAAAATCATTTCACGTGATAATGAGTAGGAAGGAGTCATTGACTACCTCAATTTCAAAAAATAAAGTTAGCCAAGTATGTTTAGGCACGTATATATATCCTCCGTGATAAGTAAAAGATTTTGTTACTATTTGGTAATATTTTTTTTACCCTAATAACTATTATTATTACTACCCAAAATTAGTAAAAGTTCATATAACTGCATTGTTTTTATTACATAATGTCAAACTAATTGTTCAAATAGACCCTAACAAAGAAAATCACTGCTAATATACTATATGAGGATAATAATATATAGTACTTTTGGCAAAGCGAATTTAATTGAACTTATTTTTTTATTTAAAAAAAGAGTAATTTGGTGAACCTAGCCGATAAATAATTTTGGTGTGATAGGGTATATATATAATGCAAAAGTAGTTTGTTTTATCACCGTTTGATTCTCACTCATTTACTAATTGCTTTAAAGTTTTAATTACTCGTTGTTTAAGGGAAGGAATTGACTCCCAATAGAAAAAGGTTTCAGTCCAATATTACAGTTACATCCTATATTAGTTGTTTAATAGAAGAAATATTTTAAGTCTATTTTGGTAAACCAACATTGTATTCATGCTTTTATAATAATATAGATGAGTTCTAGATTTTAGGACACGACAATTTATTAGGTTCAAAATAAATTATTTATACATATTAATTAATTGACCCTAAAATGGATCGACTAATGCTTTTGTTTCAAATAAAAGCATATGCTCTTTCGGCATATCTTTCGCTTGTCGGTAACCTCCTGATGTGATGACCCGATAGGTCATTTATAATTTTATTCTTAAATTTTATGTATTGAAATCTTGATTAGCTCCGTTTAATCTTTTTCGATTTGCGTTTGCAGTCCGTGTCTTCTTTTGGAAGGGTTTTTTTGTGGAAATTTGATAAAAATGTGAAATCATGCCTTAAAAACTTATTTGAGTTGATTTCGGTCAATGTTTTGAGCAAACAAATCCGGATTAGTGATTTGACGATCCCGTTGGGTCCGTATTATGATTTGGGACTTGGACATATGCCCGGAATCGAATTCGAAAGTCCCTAACTCGAATTATCCCAATTTATTGAAAAGTAGAAGCTTAAAAGAATTAATAAGTTTGACCGAAGTTTGACTTTATTGCTACCGAGTCCGGATTTTGGTTCCAGAACTTGGTTTAGGTTCGTTACTGTATTTATGATTTGTCCGGAAAATTTGATGCAAAACGAAAGTGATTTCACGTGATTCAGACTTCCGATTGAAAATTTGAAAGTTCTTAAGTTTCATAGAAAATTTCATTCGTTTTGGTGTCTGATTCGTACTTCTAGGTGTTATTTTGGTGTTTTGATTGCGCGAGTGAGTGTATGACATTTTTGGACTTGTGTGCATGTTTGGTTTGGAGCCCCAATAGCTCGGGTGAGTTTCGGATTGGCTTCCGAATGGTTTAGACTTAAGAAAAATAGCTGGTGAAAATCGGGTTCTGTGCAGCCTCTGATATCGCAATTGCGAAGAATGACTGGGTTAGCGAACCACTTCATCGCATTTGCGAAGAATGACCGGGTTAGCAGAGATCGTATTTGCGATCAAAATGTCGCATTCGCGGAGGGCCAAAGTTTGCATTTGCGAACAAATCATCACAACTGC